TCAGCCACAAGGACGCGAAGTCTGCAAAGGACTTCAACTGGAAATCGGCGGAAATGGTCGTGCAGCCATTTTGTTTTTTTTCTCTCTTCTTTTTTTTGAGTAACAAATGTTGCCAGCCTTTTGGGGCCCGACTCTTGTAATTGTATGCCACACATGCTGTCATACATGCGGCTTTACAACGCCTGCTCCTACCTCTCTCCCACACTCCTTCTGTCCTGGGCTCCCCCTTAGCCCCCGTCTACGACACGGCAGCATAACAATAAAAAAAAAGATTCACGCGCCTTAATGTCGGCAAGTTGACAACACGGAGTGTTAGCGGATTTACAACACAACCGCAACACTCACACACATACACAATACATTACACAAGCAGGCACACTCGCACCCGCACACACACAGAGGTACAATGTGTATCTGTATATATATAAAGCCAAAGGATTTTTATTGTGCTTTGCAAAGAGTTTTGATTGATACATTCTGCATTTGGTACTCTTAAAGGGCTTACATCGCAGCTTCTTAAGCTTGACAAATTACTTAGATGTGTCGCTTTAAAACTTTAATAAGCTGCCATTTGATTTAGATATCCCCATAAATGAATTGACTCTGCATTGATTTTGCTGCCATGCGCTGTAACCTTTGGCCTTGCCACAAAAGCCGAGCAGCTCGGGTAATTATACTGTTAGTGGCCAGCATATTGCACTCAACCTAATTACTCAAGCTACTCATCATATATGTGCGTACATACATATATATATGCCAATTTATATGTCTGCATACATGTATAGCTTGTGGATTCATTCATTGCATAAATACGAATATATTAACAAAGCTGACGCCAGGCTTGCGGTAAAGTCGGTTAAGTAGCTCATTAACTTCATCAATTCATTCAATCATTTGATTCAAATGCAACCACTCAAAATGTGCAGTGAATATGCACGTCAAGGCTGTTGTGTACTTTAAGTATTGTTTAATAACGGATCGATGTTAAAGCTAGCTCAGTGCGAGAGCCTGGATCGAATGAACAAATACAAAGTGAATCAGGATTGGTTATTTGTCAATTATATTAACTATATCTGTATATACTTCTATATTTATCAATGCAGTGCCGACTATAAATACTTTACCGATTTCTGCTTACTTTATAATTGATCATCGTTTCAATAGCAGCTAAGGTCAACGCTCATTAAGCTGTGTGTTGCTTTAATCGAAGTGTGTAGATGAATAGATCCGAGTTCTTTGAACGATTGCTGCACTTAAATGTACAATGTTTAATTAATCCCCTTGAGTAGAACAGAAGCCCCTGCTTAGGAAGTGGCTCGGCAGCGACTATCAATGGCCAGTTGAGTTTGAAAAGCAAACAAGCAATTTGGCTCGAGATACAATGCAAACTGTGCGGAAAAGTCAAACTCAACTTTGGTGAACAGCAATTTTCGATTAAAATTCCAGTTGGCGATTCAATTAAACACTAATTAAACGACATTTTTCCACCGCTCGCAGCTGGCAGAGTTAACAGCCTTTTGATATGTCCCCTTTGCCAGTCGCAGAGCTCTGTTGCTAGGACGCAGCTCGCAGCTCGCAGTTCGCACTTCGCACTTCGCAAAGCAGAGCAGAGCAGAGCCCTCGTTGCCTATTGGACAGCTGAGCTGTCAGCTTGGCAAAGGACTCGGTGCTCTGAAAGGACTGCCAACAGGATAAGGCGAGTCGACAAATGTGAGGCCCCACTGATAGATGTGGGCGTGGGGGGCCGGCTGCAATGAATGTCATAATGGAAGCAAAGAGGAAAAAGAAGAACCAAAATCAAAGGCAAAGTTTTTGCTGCATTTGACTTGCCTTTGCAGCTCATGCCTTGATTTTATTTTTTTTTTCCACTGCGAATGGGTTAATTTCTAGCACCTGGTACGATTTTCCATTTACCTTATCATGCTCAAAGTAAATGGTATCTGAAGGGGCATCTGAAGCATTTCTCTTCAATGAGAATCTAAACAGGTGCCGTAGTTTGATATACAAATTGGAAATTCAGTACAGCGAAATACGGCAAATAGAGCGATTAGTTAGACTGATAGGATTTAAGATATATGTTCAAGCTAAGCTTGACATTTACTGAATGTATGCATATGAAAATTCGTTCTTTAATCTCTCTTCCTCTTCTTTCAAGAACGCTACGTCTCCTTTCACTAGTTATTGCTCAAACATTTCTCAAGCTGCCGTTGATTTAACTGAAACAGAAAGTATAAAGGCAATAAATATGTCAAGTAAACTAGTTTTATTCAACTTTATGCAGTTTTCCCATAGCTGCCAAATCAATTCGAATGGCTTCCGCTAAAGAGATCGGCACAATCCGCTGCAGTCTCTGCCAATCACCTGTTCGGCGCTCGAAGCATGTCAAAAGCATTGGCTAATTATAAATGTTTTATAAGTAATTTAGCCAAGCGCGCAATTTTATGCGCTCGCCACATTGAATGATGCCTGACGCTGGCAAGGAGACGGCACAATTTTCCGGTTGCTTGGCTGCATTAGGGCGCTGTCGCCGTGACAGCGTTGTCATGGCCAGCCGGCTACAAAATATCGAATGATGTGCTGTCGGTAAACTAGTTAATTGCATATCCCTCTAATTAGCAAAGTTTTTAGCGACGTCGTAAATAATTCAGAGCGGATGCTGCTGCGCTTGTGTCCAACGGCTGCTCCTGCTCCTGCTGCTCCTGCTGCTCCTGCTGCTGCTGCTGCAGTGGCTACAGCTCCGGTTTCCTTTGACTCTGACATCGGTTTGCATATCATTTATCGCTGTGCCAACAGTGGCTGCGATTGAAACTTATAATGTGGCGGTAGCAAATTATTTGTCGACCGCCTTCAAACTTTTAAGCTTGAGTGAAAAATTTGGGCCAATGCGTATGCAGCAAAAGTTGGTGCTGGCTAATGCCATAATCCGCTTTACGATTGAAAATTCATAGAATTAATTTTTATTGTAAAAAAAAAAGAGAAGCGAAAGTGGGGCACAAATAATAATGGCCCAAAAACGCAAACGCGAACGTGATCGAAGCTAAAATCGGTTGCGGCCAAGAGGCCCAGCCCCGATTCGAATCCCGGCTCAATTCGCATAAATTTCAACTAATTACAATTTCAGTGTCCGGTGCACACAATCAATGGAAAACCCATAACAATTACAAATACAAATAAAGGAGAGCTGAATCCAACCCAAAACAACAAAAATAAAAAAAAGAAGAAGAAGAGAACATCGAGGCACACAGATGACGGTTATGGCCAGTGCGCTTAATGGCTGGACGTGAGTGTAGGGCCAAGAGTGTGCTGGCCAGAACATGTTCTATATGGCCATTTTGTGGTCATGGCCGGGCCAATTGCCAGCACAACACAACGGCTATGCTATGGATGGGTCTGCATTGGTGCGTCTTTTGTATTTGTGTTTGTACTTTTGGCTTTGTGCGGTTAAGCCCGGTTGGACGGCGCGACCACAGTGAAAACTCATTAATTTATTCTTCTCGTTCGTTTGTTGAACTTAAAATAACAGCGTTAATCCGCTTAGCGCCGCCATTGACTAAAACAACAACAATAACAATGGAGCAGCCAGCAGCCAGCCCGCGCCGAAGCTGAGACCAAAGCAGGCTCTCCTGCTGCTGCGGTTAGTTGCCATGAGATTCGACTGAATCGTGAATGCCGACAATGACTATGACGAGGCGCTGCAAACGAAATGAATTAAGGCAACCGCAATGACATAGTTACAGTGGCACAAAACATCATCCACCAGACGCACACACACACACACACACACACACTTGCATATACTTACATTATGTACCATGGATACATAGATATCTGTTGGTTGGTTGAACGACTTGCACTTGGCCATAAAATCGCAGCACAAAAGGCAGAGTCTTGGCTAGAATAGAATTCGGGCCACATAAAGTGCAGACATACACATTGATACATACACACATGCATACATACATACGTACATATATACTTATCTGTGCAATGCCTTTTTGGATCATACCGCAAGTAAAAAGTTGAAAACTCAACTGGAACTTGTGGGTCAAGACTTGGCGCCCATAAAGTCAATTGCTGACCTTTACAACAAACTTGCACAGTCAGAGGGTCCTTTACGATTCTACAGAAATGTCTTTCATGTGTGGGGCCATAATTAGCTAACTAGCTGAGAGGCAGATACATATGTACATACATACAAGGGCAAAGTGCTTTTACTTAAATGAATATCGTTTAAATTGAAGCTATAGAGCTTGAATTTCATTTCTTATGCAATTTACCTCAATAATATGGGCAATTGAGCAACGGGCATAGACAGCGCTAGTAATTTCCCCAGTTAGTCACCTAACGGAGCATGAAAACAAAAGACATCTGTCAATATTTAATTCACACTTTCTACAATAAATATGCGCACAAGCTCAAGGCAAAACGAATATATTTGTATGAATGCACTCAACTGAATTTTATTGTTTTCAAATGAATAAAACATTAATTCTTTTGCTATGATATGCGTATGAATATTTCTGTATATTTAAAGAAGTAAAGAGCAATGAATTTCGTATAAAAACTAACATATGAACTCTAAGTCTAGAACAAACTGCTTTCCATAATGAAATTATCATTATCGGACACCTCTTTCTTGTAATTCACGCATTTGATAATATTAATTATACCTGTAATTATATACATATTTGAGTAAAAATCAATAAATTATAAATCATTCTTGATTACATTGCAATTGTCTTTTTATTTACTAACAAATTTGTGATATATGTATGAACATGCAAATGTAAGTACATACATACATGTAAGAAAACTATTTCAGAGCATTTAAAAATATTTGTCTGTAAACTCTGATACATACATATGTATGTATGTATGTATCTCTGTATATGCATACATTATTCAATAAGTTGCTTCGATAAACGATTTGAGCTTATCGCGTTTCGCCGGGCTTTTTGTTGCGCGAGTTGGCAGCGCTGCTTCAGTTGCCGCTATCAAAGATGAGTTTTTCGAAAAAGTCTAGTAAGTGCATTTTGATATAGAACTAAATGTAAATTCAATGATCATATCTCTCAATCGATGCAACAGAAAGGATCGCCAAGAAGAAAACCTCGAAAACTTCCGAAAAAGCTGCAGTCGCAGAGTTGACTGAGGAGGAGAAGCCGACACTCAGCCAGACTTTTGCCACGCTGCGCATCTGCCTGAGATATGGAGAGAGCACTGCGAGCATCTTCACTCGACTGTTCAAACTGCTGGAGAACACGAACCTGGTGCGCATCCTGAAAGTGCTGCCCGACGATGAGCTGGGACGTCTGCTGCCCATGCTGGCGGAGCGTTTGACCCGTCTGCGTGTGGAGATGTCCGAGATACCGGAGCTGTGCAGCATCAGCAATAAGATGGGCGTGAAGGAGCTGCGGCAAGTGCGCCACTGCGAAGTGGCACAGGACAAGACGAAGCTGAGTGGCAACAGCTCCAGCTGCAATTTGCAGCTCCTGGGCGAGCTGCTGCCCCTCCTGGAAGTGCTGAATGTGCATGCAGCAATTGTGGCGCCTTTTCCGGACAATTTCCGAAATCTGCAGTCGCTGATGCTGCGGCAGGGCATACACCAGCTGGTGCTGGACCAGATCTGTGCTCACTGTCCGCAGCTGCAGAAGCTGCTGCTGCGCAACGAGTCCTCCGAGTCACTGGACGCGAAGAACCTCTTGAAGTGCTTTCAGCTGAAGGAGCTGCAGATGCCGCTGATGCTGCGGTCGCCCCAGGCCGTCTGCTATTTGACACACCTGCAGCACCTGTCGCTGCAGCGTCTGCAGCTCTGGCCGGGCATGGACTGGCTGCCGAATATTAAGGAGATTCTCAGTGCCAAGCGCTGCCAGCTGCGCGTCCTAAGCTTCGATGGCAGCTGGCTGGTGACGCCGCTCGATCTGTCACTGCTGCAGCTGGGGTACTGCTGGGGCTTGCAGGAGCTGCTGCTGAGCAACTGCAAGCTGGCGGATCTGACGTCGCAGCCGGAGCTGCCTCTCAGCTGTCGCCGATTCGGGCTGCGCGGCTGCAAGCTCAACCGGCCGCTGCGCTACTTTAGGAACATTGCTCAGGTGCAGCTGCTGGAGCTCCATGACTGCCAGCTGGCCTCTGATGGACGTCCGTTTCTGCAGTACATGATCCTGCAGCGCCAGCGGCAGCCTGCCTTTGCGCCACTCCTGCTGCGCTTCAGCCAGTCCACGCCAATGCGTGCGGAGCTAGCCGGCTGGACGGCCAGATATCGGCAGGAAAAAAGTGCGTGGCTGAAGGTGATAGAGCTGGAGGAGGGCTTGCACACCTGGCAGCAGCCTATCGGCACGATTACCATGACATTTGGCAAGCCAATCGATCATATGCCGGAACTGGATCTGGGCGGCTCAGCCCGGAAAAGTTAACAAAGAGCACGCATAAGTGGAGAGTATAATTAAGAATAAAGTTTTTTTTTTTTTTTTGACGGATATCAGCAGAAGAGCGAAGTTTTTCCCATTACCAGCAAGGCTATTGGGAGATTTGTTATTCTAAATAAAGTCTTACCATACCAAAAGAAGAAATCGATAGACCTAAAGTACTTGAAGAGATGCGCCACTTTTCTAACACAATGCCATGCAAATCAGCTAAAGTTTTCCGTTCATATTAAATCTAAAAATAAATCGTTAAATGAAATTTGTGATGTAAGTTGCGAGGAATTCCATAATAGGCCCTTCCACAGTCCCGGCGAGCGTAGGGCTGTTTGTTGTTCAGTGGCCCACGCTGAGGCGTGAAACGGCACACCCTTTAGGGCAAATAAGACAATCGAAATTCGATAATATTGAACGAGAGGAGCGACAAACCTAACCAGGCCGCAGGCAGCGAAGGCAGCGCCGGATTGGGTCAACAAAGAAGTCACACAAAACCCGGACAAATCAACTCGGAGGGCTTTCAGCTTTTGAAATCCGATGACAGACTAGATGGGTAAATGGGGAAAAGCATACATATCTATGTATGTCTAAAGGAAAATTGCGCAAAAAAAAAGGGAAATAAAAAACAATGAAAATGCCCCGAATGCATGCTAAATAGAGGATTTAGGTAAATGGATTTCTAGGCATTTTCGCATTTGCTCCGGAAATTGAATATAAACTGTGTGTCAGTGTGTGTGTATGTGTGTGTGTCCCTTTTGTCTTCTGCGATGACTATGTGTGCGCTTTTATTGGTGCTTTATATGTGTATGTGCGTGAGTGCGTGTGTGTGTGTGTTTTGCCGACCAACGTTAATAGCCAAAAGTTTAGGCAAAGATTTCATTTTATTATGTGGAAATTTATTAAAGCCTTTGGGCCAGGACGAGGGATTTTAATCGCTTTGCGCCACTTATGCCCATTGCCTGTGCCGCTATTGCTGTGGGCTGAGTGTTTAGTGTTGTTTGCGGTGTTGCCAGTGCTGCCAGTGTTGCTATGCTGGCTGCCCTCAGTTCCCGGCGTCCTTAAGCCCTGGAAATGGAATAATTGGATATTCTTGTTACATATTTGTGCAACTGCTGCTATCGCTCGATTCTCGGAAGCTCTGCTAGCTCTGACAGCACCGGCTGCGGGTCCAGCTGCTGACGGTGACGTTGATGCTGCTACTGCTGCTGCTGTTGCTGCTGATGTTGCTGCTGATGTTGATGTTGATGTTGTTAGCTTTTCAAAATGCTTTAAGTACGTTTAATGGCTTGCTAAGCTGCCTTATGCAGCAGCTACAAAGAAGGCATTAAAGAGTCTACCACAACAAGGAGCTCGAGCAAACGCAAAGAAAAGCGAAATAAAAATATAAATAACGGAACGTAATTGCTGCGACTCTGCATTCAAAATGGGTCACGTTTCACTATGAATAAAATTAAATAATTGTCTTTTATTTTATAATAATTATATACATATATTTTCATTGGCATTTGTTTGACTCGGTTCAATTTATGTGAATTCATTGCAATACAATTCAATCTCTGTTAATTAACTAAATTTAAATTTTCTTTGACATATATTATTTAATTTTATTAAAAAATCATTTGTATACATTTATTTTGAGTTTCTTAAATTTTTTAATGAATTTCTTTATTATCATAATTTGAATTTTTTTTTCTAGGCAAATATTTTTACGCTTGTGGATAACTTTTATACCATAATTAGTCGATCAATTCCATTCGATTTAGAGAGATTAGGGTATCCATTGCAAGAGAAAATATTTTTAAGCTTCTGATTGTTTTGTTTGTGTATCCCTCTAACTGGGCAATGGCAATGCACTAAGCGTATTCTGATGAGAGGAAGGAAACGAGAGGCAGAGGGAGAAAAATAGAGCTAAAATTGACACAGTTGAGGACAACAAGCAACAAATTTGAGATATTTTTCTTTTGCTCACTTTCCTTGGCTTCCTTGTTTAGTTGTTTCAGCTTCCGTTTTTGCTGCTGGCACTTCTTAGTTCTCATTTCTCATTTCGCTTGCTCACAGTCTTTTCTCTTTTTGTTTAACATGCGCTTCTGCAGTTAACCCAACGTTGCTCTGTCCACTGCAGCACTGCGCCATGTCCCTGGGTCGGCGCCAACATTGTTGGGGACAGTAACCATTGGGAATTAGCGCGGTCTGTAATAAGGATCGTCATCGCCCCCATAATCATTGGCCAGTGTAAACCTGCACTTAGTGTGGTCATTTCGCTTGCAGTCGACCCCCAGCAGCAGCAGCAGCAGAGGAAGCGAGCCGCGAGAGACACGCCCTCTCATGTGCGGCATGTCCAGCAGTCGCCCGGGGACTGGGCGCGAACGGATGAGCTGCGAGGCGATGTACCACTGGCTGAAATACTCCTGGGCGCAAATGGTAGCGCGCTTTGTGCGGCTTCCGCCTCGTCAGCTAATACCCAAATGGATGTTTAGTGTAAGTCGCCGGCATTGTTGCTCCTCTGGGTGCGCCAGGGCGGCGCTTCGGTGTGGACATCGCCGCTGCTCGGCTGCTGTATTTTCATTTTCTCGCATCCTCTTTGCTTCAGCCGGCTTTTGCGGGCCCCGCCGAACGGGTCCGACAAAGCAATTACGTAGCCTGTTATTGTTGACGGAGTCCAAGTTGTTGCTCATTTCAGTTTCTGCTTAAAACTTAATGACACTTTTAGTTAATTATCGCGGTGGATTTGCAAAATTAAGCGATTTGGGTATAATTACCAGGGATTACTCTACTCAACCCAGCCAGCCCAGTTTCTTTTCTTTCTCTCTCTCCTTCTTTCTTTTTTTATTCATTTTTATGGGGGTTTTCTTCTTTGTCTCGCGCCGACCGCAGCAGTGATTGTCAGGTTGCGGTTAACAAATCAGTTTTTGGAATTAGTATACCAAGTGCTTAGGGCAAAGTAAGTGGAAAATTGATGTAATTTTAAATGTGTGCCAGTCCTTAAAAGAAACTTGACAATGACAGCTTTTGTTAGTCTTTTATTAGTTGCCCAAGTACAATTTCACTTATTAAAAAAAAAAAAAAATAAAAATAAATACAAATAAAGAAATAAAACAAAAAAATAAAATAAAAAATTAATAAAATAAATAAAAATAAAAAAAAATAAAAAATAAATAAATAAATTATTAAAACAAAAAAATAATTATATAAAATAATATAAAATAAAATAAAATAAAATAAAATAAATAAATAAAATATGTACCTAAGAGTTTTGTCTCAATCCACACTTCTTCTATTTGCTTCTAGTTATATCTTACAGAAACTGCATTTATTATCGGAATGCAGTATTCTAATTTTATGCTCTACGACTAGCTCAGCTCTTTTTGGAGTACAAACTAATTTTCTCGATAGTTGGGCAAACTTTTGATACAAACTTAAAAGTAGTTTTCCAAATTGGAAAATATTCACAGCAGCTGCAGGTGAGCTGGCAATTAGCCTTCAATTAATTTAGAATTTTAAGCAAGCTGCATGAAGTTGGCGTATGCGAGAATAAATTTGCGATAGTTTTAGTTATTTTTTTTTATTTTTATATTAATATTAATGCTCAGTTGTTGGTGCTCGGGTGCCTTTAATATGTTACCTCTAGCCAGACTCTGAGACTTACGTTTGCAAATAATTTGTGCGTTGAACTAAGCGAAAAACCGAAAGGCAACCACACAAAAAGTTTTTAGACAACAGTTTTCAAAGTTTTACAAGTGGCGCAGAAAAACACGGAATGCAAGCAGAGCCGAGTGTGGCTAGAGCAGAGGAGAGAGGTAGGGTGACTGTCGATGGAGCTGAGATGAGGCTGGCTGCAGAGGCGGAAGCTTGTATTTGCCCACTTATACAGCGAACGAGTTAAAATTTATTGGTATTTCGGCTAAAATCTCGCAAAGTATAAACCACTTAGGTGCAACGCCTAGGGGCAGTTAGCGTCAGGGGCGTGGCCATGGCAAACACTTTCGTATTTTGTCTTGGCTGCACTTTTCTCTATATGTACTTTTTGTATGCCCTCAATTGTTGTTGCTGCACTTTGCAGGCATAAATCAGCCATGAGCAGCAGCAAATGCCAAAACTAAACCTCTTCGTAGACACACACACACACACATACTTATACACACACACATTCCACATACACAGACTAACGTGTGTGCGCGTTTCGTTTTAAAATCAGCTAAAGGTAAAACCATAGCAACAACAACAAATGGCCATATTACTTGCAACAATTGCAAGTGCTGTGAACCCAGATATAGCCCTGCCCCCCTCTCTACCCTATATACACATACATATACATATATATATCCCCTAGGTACCCTCTGTTGCAGCTTGCTTGGCGCGCATAAAGTTTCATTCAGCAGCAAAGTTTGTTTATATTTTATTATATTTTTCCCACGGCTTTTAAACGTTTTCAGATCGTAAGAATCAGATTGTATCGCTTCAGAGATACCCTATAAAGCTTAAGCATATATATGAGATAAGAATCAACTATTATAAACAGTATAAGAATGATTTGATGGGAAAAAGCTTCGTAGTAAATAAATAAATGTATTGAAAATATACTTGATTAATGAACAAACTTTTTGAATAGTTCATTTGACATATTTATTCCATATTTATATGAATTTTATTTGTGTAGTTCATTTAATGCGGCCTCAAATCAAGCCCCACGTCAATTGGTAGGGTATAACCCTTATTCAACTTCATTGGCTGGAAAGCCCTTCACGTTCACAGTACGGCAAAAAAAGGAAAGGAGAGAAAAAAGATTTCATTTAATTTCCGTGGTCATCCACATGAAGTAGTCTGCCTCGCATTTCGACTGCACAAGAGGCGTAAAAAAAGAACGGATGCGAAAAAAAACGAAGTATCAAAAGGAAAATGGACTCTGCCCTGAAAGGGGGCACGTGGCAAGTGGCAGCCTATTAGCGAGTGGCTACAACTCGACCCTGAATTTGCATGCCCAGCAAAAAGATATTATT